CGCGGCCGTGTCAAGGCCGAATATATATTTACCACGCTAGGTGACGAACGCTCATCTGGGTATAAACATCAGTAGCTAGCGAATTCCAAATCGTTTTTGTAAACTCTCCGGAGTATAAGAACAGAAATCTAGTCTAAAGCGGATATCACAATCTCCCATCAGCGGATTTGCTTTTCAAAGAATTTTGCCATCAATATCATGGGGCCACGTTCAAGCGCTCGGGGTATAAGAACAAAGAATTTATAAACTATCCATATTAAATACTAAAGTTTAATAAATTTCGTGTCTACCAGATTTTAACGAGTGTGTCATTGGCTGAATTACTGTCCTTCCTCTTGCCTTGAAATCTTTCAACGCGAACCCTATTCTAAAAGGTCCGTACTCTCCTCTCGCAACATCTCCTTTCGTTCGGCTAATCAGGGAAGGAAGAAGTGTTACACGGTATATTTTCCAGTTGTGCCTGGAACTGGTTATTGGTGAAGGTAATACACCGAAACATGTATTTATCTTTGGTAACGGTGCGTAACAGATGCCACAAAGATCTCAATTTGTTGTGGATCTACGAAATAGTCGATGCCTTTACTGAATTTCAAAATACCAAGATGTCGCCATATTATTTATAGGCATATTATATGTTGTAAAATGCTACTAACGAATACCGTGAAATGTGTACGCAATAGTCATTTTGAAAGTTGCAAAGAAAAAATATAAAGTAAAAATCTGCGTAAAGCAATCTCTTTTATCTCAACGCTCTTAAAATATATTATCATTTCCATATTAAAAGAACTTTATACTATAATGTGGTATAATGTATTAAAAATTTATTAAAACCTTGAGAAATGCGGTTCAATTCACTTAGAACAATTTTAAAGTTAGTAAACAACTGTTTTCAAAATTGAAAATACGATAATTTACCTAAACGTATACCAGGAAAAATAATATTAAGAAGAAATAATAAAGGTCATATTTATAAGAAAATTTAAATAAATGAAACGCGACTGCTTCTATAGTTTAAATGTTTATTAGAAATAATTGGAGATTTTTAATCGTTCTGGTAATTTACATCAATAATTACACAGATTTTCACAAAATATGGACATTGTAAAAATCAAATGAGCGATATTCTTAGAAATGAAAAATATTAATGAAGTTGGTTTTTGTTGTGTTAGAAAACTAAATATATCACTGTGCGACACAAACATATTAACACCAATGTCAAGATTTACAGCTTGTAGGAATAACCTCAATGTTTTGTCGAGTAAATAAGTTGAGAAACAGCTTAAATGAGAATATGTTAACGAAGGGAAGTAATAATGTGAATCGTGTTTTGAAATATCCGAAATCGTTTGTTGAAAACATTAAACGTGTCTTTTTTTAGGTTAAGAGGAGATTGTCCTTCTCGGGCATTAATTTAGATGAAGTTGGTGAAAGGAACGAAAATGTCACAGATTTAAGCTTTAATTTATTTTTCGTTATTAGAATTTTTATAAATTTTAATAAAGTTATTCGAAATTCAATTACTTTTGTATATTATTCATGCGATGCAATTAAATTTTCAGCAATGTATTTATTGTAATTTCATTTTACGTTTGTTACATTCTGTTTTAAAATTAAAGCGAAGTGTGCAGTTTCAAATTTCTATTAAAAGTTCTATGTATGTTAAATATTAAGAGTCTTTTGACGAATTATGTGGTACGCAACTCGTTAAAAAAGATAATAGAAGATAAAATGTAACGGCTAAAGAAAGACTGTTTTGTGCAGGACTGGATTAACTTTCAGAGACTTCAAACATGTAAAAGATTTTAATGCCTTCACATGTATTAAATTCAAAATACAGTCGTAAAATCAAATTTCTTGTTTTGAAATAGCATTTTGAGATTTTTCAATTTCAGAAGTTTCGGATATTTGGAATTTTAGAATTTTAGAACTTTAGAATTTTTTAATTCTGGGACTTTGAAGTTTATAAATAAGAAGTATATAAATTTGAGACTTTGGAACTTCAGAATTTCAGAATTACAGAACTTTGAAATTTTGAATTCTGAACAACGCAGGAAGCTCCAGAATTTTTAAAACTTGAGACTTTACATTTTTGTGGTTCTGAAATTTGAAGGTTCCGGAATTTTTTAAATAGGGGACTATGGAGCGTTGAAATTTTAAAACTTTGGGTCCTTGGAATTTTAGAAGCTTAGAAACTTAGGTTGTTGTAATTTTAGCTTAGAAAGTGACTTTAGAAATTCTGAAGTTTGAAAATTTGAGACTTTAGAACTACAGACACTTGAAAATTCGAGGCTTTAGAACTTCAAAAGATTGAAAAGGTGAATTCTGGAAAGTTTGAAAAATGATAATAAAATCTTCTATGATACTTCCTTTCTTGCATGCTTATGTTGCTTAATAGTTAATCCAGTCCTAATTATAATCCATTAGTACGTTATAAAAAAACTTACCAACTTCTCCGTTATCAGGTTCATCGATACTGTGATAACTAGAAACTGAACCTGTGCTAAAGTAAGTCGATTTCGCAGAGGTTGTAGAATAGAAACTGTCGAGCCTTTGTCTTCTTTCTGTTTCTGTCTCAAGAGTCAGACTTTCGCTTATTATTTCGTTATCATCGTAGCCTTCGAAAGAGTCATTCAATATAGAGGTATTCCCATCCAGAGCGTCGTGAAAACTCTTCGATTCACTAATTTTGCTGTAACTGATTGTACACAAAAAAAATTAAAAGAAGTACGGCTTATTCCTACAAATTGTTACAATTATTACAGTACAAGTTATGATTTTTTAATAATTATTACAGTGTAACTTACTATTTTTTAGTAATTGATAATAGTAATATGATGATCGACCTTAGATTTACGAACGCTTAATTTAAATTGAAACTAAATTACAAAAATAAATATATAATGGATAATACGTAAATCAGCTTATGCAATGATTCTTTATTTCAATGAAAGTTAACATTTTGACAAAAGTTTATTATTAATTTTCGTAATTGAAAATAAGGAATATTGAGATCCATCATTTTGACGAGTTCCGTAAATCTACTGTCAAGTATTGGGTGGTATGAATAGGGTAATAGTATGCGTAAAAATAAATAAAAAACTGTACAATGAAATTTAGTTTTTGTTATTTATAAGGAAATTAGTTTTAAATCTATTTTCGGATTTACACTGAAAGTGGGTTACTCAAAACTGTGTAAATAAAAATCGTATAAATCGAAATTATTGCTAACTACACAAGTAAACATAGTCCAAATTAAATTGTGCGTATCTTATTTTAATAAGGAAAATATCAAAAATCAATTGGTGAAAGTTTCATAAAAAAAAAAATATAAAAGTTTTATTCTTGCACTAATATCGTCAAAACGTTCATTTTTACGAGTTTCTTCTCAATTGGTTACTTAGAAGCTGCGTAAAAACGAAACCATGTAAATAAAGTACCGTGTAAATAGGTAGATAGGTGTATTTTCAATAATGTTCGCGCATGTTTGATAAATTTTTAGCCATCATTTTTTCATATATTTTGTGTGAAAAAGTAATATTTGATATATTAGATTTATATTTTTATAATGAATCATGAATGTACTGTTTTTGTTACTGCACTTCGTATTTGTATGTGTATATTCTTTCAATTATCGATAAGCTTTATTAGACGAATAAAAGTAATAAAATGTTTACGATAATTAACTGTTTACATATATTTTAAATAAGAATTAATTTTGCATTCGATGGAATATTACATTTTTATTCAAGAATTTAACTTCGATAATTTAAAACAACAGTGTTATTGATGATTTTTAATTGTATAAGTGATTATGATATGCAGTTTAATTAATAACTTAATACTATTACTCAACACAATTTTTGTATCAATTTTGAATTAATTGATATTTTATTTTTTATTATGTGAATAGAAATTAATTTTTATTAGAATTTAACATTTAATATTATGATATATAATTATTTGTAAATATATTTCGATAGATTGATCATCGAAAGCAACGATGATGATTCAATTCATCAACGAAAGTGATAATTTATACATTTATCGTTGTAATGATTGACCACATGTTCGGACATTTTTGGACTTGGATTCGCCAGATAAGATCTTAATTACTTAACTGTTATTGTTTTTCATGTTTTACAGATATCTTTTAATTTCTTTTTGAAACGATAGCACCTTAAATTATATCAAATAAGATTGTGATGTTCGACAATCTTAGATAACAATTCAATGAACATAGACGTTTCATAAAATTGGAAGAAAGGTTAATAACCGAATAAGGCAAAATTAATTTCTTCCTATTGAATGTTTGCAGCTATCATTTCCAAGATTTTTTAATTATTTAACACGTTTGCTACGTTGGGTTTTTCTCGGATGCGATTTATACATATGTCAGACGTATTCGAAGATTTCCGTATACGCATGACTCACGCCATTCGTCTCAGAGTCCTAATAAGATTCGTCACTTACACAGCACCTACTTATACCGGATGTTCAGAAAAAAATCTAATACTAATATGGGTAAACATGTACACAAAAGAGATTCGTGGATTTCATTTTGCAAAAAAATTGTTGAAGTACCAAGCTTTGAACAACATGACAAGCTCTGAGAGTTACAAATAATGATTAGGGCACGCAACTTTTATTACTCTAAATTTTCATTACATGAGTAATTTTTGTTTTAAAGTTTTATTCAAACCAATAAAAATTAGGTTTATAATTAGATTTAAACTAATGAGCGCAATCAGCTAATCTCAACAGCCAGATTATACTTGAGTGGTAACTGTGAAATGGATGATTTAGGTTTATGTTAGCTGAAATTGTTGCTACACAATTATGTAAGCACAATGGTATATTAAAAATTTTGCCTTTTATAGTTGTCATTGCTGTGAAAATAGTGCGTGTAAGTAAATTACCCGAGCTGTTTGAAAATGACCTAACAAGGGACCCAATTGATACACATCGATTTTGATGAAATTTTTATGTTATTGAACTCGAAAAAATATTTGACACGTATTTTTTTTTTTTTGTCCGCAAACGTCCACTCTGAAGTGGTGAAAATAACCCTTAAAGTTGGGGTTGAAAAAACTATTTTCGCAAATATCTCAGGAACTATTAGGCCTAGACAAAAAATTCAAAGTGCAATATTATTCTGTTTTAGAAGGCCAATGATATGGCGTAAGTGGATTTTTGCAAAATTTATTTGTTTAGAAAATTTGTAAAAAATTAACATTATTTTGCAAATTTTTTTAATAAAACGTACCATTTTGATCAAATTTCACATACATAAACAATGGGTCCAAAGAAAAAATTCGGATAAATTGGAATTTTTAATTTTGCTTGTGAAAAAAATATTACTGTCATTGAAGTTATACGCACATTTTATACCTTCCGTTCAGTGCACGACTGATTTCTATACATAGCATTCTGGCAATTGTATTATATTACATCTTTTATACTAATTTATTTAAAGAAGGAAAGTAAGGGTCCATAGGTGCCTGTATAAAAATATGGGGCCCGAGTCAGATATGCTATATGTTCCGCGTTATGGATGCGTACTGGTGACAGTATTCGAGGATACATCCAAATTTTGATAAGAAATATCAATTCGCCAAATAAAACTTTGAGTTTTAAGCATTAAAAAAACACTGCTGGATTAATACAACCTTCTAATGGATACGGTTATAGAATATGGAAAAATTTCGCCCATGAAATATCAAATCTTGTATCTACGTTAGATTTACAAGTTATGATATGGTTGCATCAGTAGCAGACCGGAACATTTTGATAATCTTGTTGACTTTAGTTTCAATCAAATTGAAATTGATATCCGTTTTTATTTTATAATACATAACATCATTACATAATTCGCTCGAAAACCGTCGAAGAGACAAGACGTGTAGTGAGCCCCGAATATAAACAAAGTGCACAGAGATCCAGATTACTTGTGTGAACTGTGATTAGTGTATAAGTGTCAGTGCGCGAATCTTAAGTATCGCTTACATAATAAAACAACCACTCATAACCACAGTGTTCAACACTAGCGATGTCTCAAGCCAGTGGAGGACCAGCCTTCTCACCCATATACATATACTATGACCACTGCCGATGTCATAACAACAACTACGACCTCAACATCTTATCGAAATAGACAGTACACACAACAAGCTATACCTATTATGTCGACACGAGTCACACATACCAACTCACCTCATTTAGACACGACCATTTTCGAAACTCTCAATACAAACAGAACACGCAAACGGATAATTCCAGGAGACCCGTCAATACTAGCTGATATAATACAAACCGATATGGACACTACAGATTCAAATATTCCATGGCAACAGACACAAACACGAAAATGCAAAAGAAATAGGGAAACGGTGCAAAATAGTACACCTGCTGCAAAGAAACAAGCTTTCGATTCCAATTCCAATGCAAAAGAAATAGGGAAACGGTGCAAAATAGTACACCTGCTGCAAAGAAACAACCTCTCGATTCCAATACTCATAATTCACAAAATTCTAATAGATTTACAGTATTAAGTCATATCGATCCCGAAATAACTCAAATAAAGATTTACAGTATTAAGTCATATCGACCCCGAAATAACTCAAATAAATAATAACAGAAAGTATAAAAACAATCTTATTCGATGAAGAATTCGTTTGCAAAACAATTTCAGCAAATTCTGTCAAAATAAATACAAATACTCCGGATGCCTATAGAAAAATAATCCACTTTCTGAAACTAAATGAAGTTGCATTTCACACATACCAACCAAAAGAAGAAAGAGCTTATAGAGTAGTCATTAAAATTTCAGCAAATTCTGTCAAAATAAATACAAATACTCCGGATGCCTATTGTTGCGTGAACAGCGCGGATTTGAGCACCCGACACTATTCTGACCCAGTCACGATTTAACGAGCTCTGAGCCTGGTTTTAGATGATAGTTCGTGATGTGATGATTCGATTAAGGTTCATGTTATAACGTTCGTTGTTCGTGATATTAGTTGATTCGTTCGTGTTTTTAAGTGTTTATTCTGTTCGAAATACAAGTGAGTTCGGTTCGAGAGTTAGATATGTGTTGTTCGTGATGTCACTGAATTCTCGATAATTTCGATATGTGATGTTTGAGATATTATCGTGTTCTTTTCTTGATTTAGCTACGTGTTGTATGAGATATTATCGTGTTCTATCGTCTTTTTAGATATGTGTTATAGGAGATATTATCGTGTTCTGCCGTCTTCCGCCAAAGTAGCTGTCGATGTTACCTCGGAATCGGTAATTTGGAAGGGGATGTGCATCAAACCAAGGGACATTCCACCAAAATGCGCTTTATGTGATGGTTCACATCCTGCAAATTGTAGGGGATGCAGTGTATACAAAGACTTACAAAAAGCTAGAAATAAGACACAAAACAGAATAACAACATCTCAATACAAAACAATAAGGAAGAATCTGAGCTATGCTCAAGTGACAAAAAGTAATACGCAGAAAGCCGACGACAATAATAACAATAATAACACTGAATCAATGCTTAATCAATTCATACAAAAATTTGAAGTCCTTTTAAATCAACTCATGAATCAAAACAATATCCTCATAAACCTATTAACATCTCTCATCAAAAATAAAATCTCATAAAACAATGGACAGTGATCTCAGAATTTGTTTGTGGAACTCCAACGG